TTCTGAATTTTTTCATCACCATTCTATGCCACCAGATGCGCAATGGAATTGAATCCCTGATATTCATTCTGCTCTGTGCCTTCAAAATAAAAGGACCGGACAAGCCCACATGATAAGTTGAATAAATTTTGAATGCATATGAATCACATTGCAAAGAAATCAATTCTCAGCTTTTCCTCCGCACACCAACGTTGAGCTAGAAGGTCGTCAATTCTGCGAACTGCAGCTCCCAAAAACTCTGCGGAGCAAAGTGGCATTGTAAAAAGCCAATTCTTATTTGCTGCTCAGCGGACAATCTGTTGTGCCTGCCACGAAATCTGCACATGGAGCTGTGTTCTGGGCTGGCAGGAAATCTGACAAAGTGAAGTGCCAACGGCAGTCTTCCAAGGACGTGAAATGGCTGGCTGAGGCTGCGATCTGCCTGACCCCGAAAAAGGGTTGGACACCAGCTTTTGCAGTTGACCGTCACATGGAGCACGAGAGATGTTCAGGCCTCTTGCGGCAGCAGTCAGCAGTGCCTTCCCAAGCAGTAGGCCTCCACAATACACGACCACAATCAATTCGAGAACCATGAGTCAAGAGCCATTGCAAATTGCTGGTGGATGGTGATGTGGTGAGAGGATATGAGAGGATGTGAGTGAGTGGAGCTATATGTGTGTGAGGGTGGTGATGTGTCGAGGTGAAGAGAGGAGGCGCGGCGGCGGCGGCAGGGCCGGCGGAAGGCCGCTGCGGGCGGGATGGCAGCCAAAAACTAGAACCCCACACAGAGATGTGGAAAAAATTTCTTTGGTTTTCATTCAACTCTGGGAGTCAAGAATAAATCCCAATTCTTCCTTTATTTCATTGTGGTGGGAGGTATCATCCCGCTCAGGATCGTCCCCATTGCCTGTGGGGTTTGAAGTCACCAGGGTCGATGGAATCCCCGAACCAGCTTTCTCAACCTGTAAGAAGAATTTAAGCCAATTAAACCATTTGCGTTCCAAAAAATCTACAGACAATATCAAAATTGACAAAGTATATCCAATTTTCAATTATCATTCCATTATCCATTTCCAGGTCGTGATGGGTTGTACAGCTGAGCTATGTGTGCAGAAAAAGACCGTGCCAGAAACAAGGCCATGGTGTGGAATCAAGGACCTTTGTTAATAAGAGCGGATAAGGTTGTAATTCTGATCCCACAATTCAGGCAGCTAAAAGGAAAGAGATGTAGACTCGCAATTGGACCGCAACAATTTGCTCCACGATCATGCAATTCGATTTCTTCGATGGGAATCGGAATTTCATTGGTTTGTGCACCAAGGCGTGGAATGAAAGCAAACAGCAATCCTAATGCCACAGATCGTAATCCTAGACCAATAGAGTGTTGTATTCATATCCCACCTGCGATTAAGAAAGCTGTGGTGTCTTCATGAATTAAATGCACAAGTGCACATCGATAGTAAAAAAGAAAACAAAATATGGATTGTGTTTAATTAAGAATCAAAAAAAAATGCAGGTAGGCAATCCGAATCCATCCGTCTAGCAGTAGTATCCGTTTCCCATACCCTATGTCCAAATATAATACCAAGGTGCGCTTTTTTGAATAATCATGAGTAAAAAGGTATATCGGTAATCAATAACCAAAGACCGGTCTTGGTCCGATAAACCGAACCTCCAATGCATTAAACAATTCCTTTATTCATAGTCCCGAAAATAATATTCTTAGAAGAAATAAGATAGAAAGATATGCAGGATATAGACAAAATCATTAAGAGCGCTAAGTCCGTCCATTATATATATATATATATATCAATAACCAACGGAGGTAAACATCGTCAATATAAATAATAAAGTATTCGTACAACCAAATTATATTTAAATTATAAAAGACATCGTAGAGTAATATAATATAATATCCTCTATCAAAACGATAATTCGACGGATAATTTCATGGTTTTTCCATATTCAAAAAAATTTAAATACCCCAAATAATCCATCCGGAATTATATTTATCGATCCTAATATAACCAATAAACACCTTAATAATAATAAAAATGAAAATACATTTTCTATAATATAACAATTTTAAATTATCGAAACCCCTAAAATAACCTTAAATATCAAATATTAAACAAATAAATTAACCTAAAAATCGCTAATTAAATATTTAATTAGCCAAATTTTAAAAAACAAAATATTATAATTAATCGATAAATTCATAATTAATATATTGTAAAATAAATTCGGAATTTCAAAAATAAATTAATACCAAGCCAATGTTAATATACATAAAAAAACAAATCTATAACATTAAAACTCTATCAATAACGAAAACCTTACAATATTTCCTCAAAAATATAACATTTGTATTAAAAAAAATATAACATTTTAAAAAATTCCCATTAAAAAAATCCATTCTTAATTTTTTGCATTAATAATAAAAATTAATATTAAAAATTAAATATTAATATTATTATTTTTTTTTTCATACAATTTATTTATTCGATAAAATAAATCGTATAATTCATAAAATAAAATAAAATCCGTTCCTTCCCGTAAAACCTTTTACATTTCTATCTTTTATTCTAACGATTTTATCATCGAATTCAAAAAAACGGCACCAATAAATTTTTACGAATCCAAATAAACAAAGTATATCGAACAATCTATCAAATAACGATTTTTTTTTTCTAACCTGTCGCACATTTATAAAAATGAAATCAATATCGAACTCCTTTTAAATTTAAGAAAATTAAAAGCCAATCAAATCCAATACACATCAATTCATTAAATTTCAATAACACTAAATTAATATAATCCTTCCAATAAAATCCTTATTACCTAAATATATTTCATTACATTTCCAGACGACGAGTGGCCCGAATACACGCACGATCTTCGCAGAGGGTGCGCGGGCAGCCGGCAAATCGTACTCTCGCCTGCATTTCGCGCACTCGACACGCACGATCTCTACAGAGGGTTGCGCGGGCAACCGCCAAATCGCACTCTCGCTTGCATTTCGCGCACTCGACACACACGATCTCTGCAGAGGGTTGCGCGGGCACCCGGCAAATCGCACTCTCTCGCCTGCATTTCGCGCACTCGAACTCGAACCGCGCGATCTCCGCAGAGGGTTACGCGCGGACCGGACAAATCGCGCTCTCGCCTGCATTTGGCGTACTCGACACGAACGATTTCCGCAGAGGGTTGCACTTTTGGTTGACGCTATTCGTCCCGCCCTCCGCCTTTAAGAGAGAATTTATAAAGTGGAGAAATGTTTTTTTCATTAGGACATCTCCCGTGCTAGTTTTCCAAAACTTGCACTTGTCTTTTCATTGCATGTTTGTTTGCATGCTCATTGTATTCTTGCGTACTCATTAGTTGCATACTTACACTGCGCGCTTGCCGAGTTTCAATGTGTATATGTAAATGTCAGCGTCGAAGTGTCAGTGTATATTGTGCGAATGTAGTTTAAAAATGCGATTTTAAATCTTACAATCGAAATAAATTCCCAGGCTCAGGAGATCACATGCAGCTTGTGGCCATGCAGCGACCGCAGTCTATGACCATGTTTTCCGCTGCTGTTCACACAATGGAAGTTCTGGCCTTTCGAAACACCTCTCGAATCCAGCCAACGGTGAAGGCTAAACTCTTCTAGGAGCCGTATGTTGGTGTATCGCTGGAAGTTTTGTCGAACACGTCCTTGGTGTCTGTAACAAGCAGAACTGGAATGTGTTCATTGTGTGCCTCCTTACGGTCCAGCACATCGAATCCTTTGGATTCGGCAAACAATCCTCTGCTGTAGAAAGACACATGAAATGCCTCATCTGAACCCAAGAACTCAACTCTTTGTCTCCAACAAACACTTAATAACCTGCTTGACTGCAAACTTTTGTGAAAACACTTCCTTCAGATCCGCCACTGCGAGTAACGTTTCCAAGCGAAGCATCTGTTATCAACAGAATTCCTGCATCTGTCAGATCCAGCTTAGGGAATCTCAGATTGAAACCAGAGTCTTTCTTCATGACCCGGACCAGCGCATTGGCCTTGAGCAAGGTCGGAACTGTGGGAGGTTCTCCTTGAAGCACGGAGAGGTTATAGCTCATGTCAAACCTGACTTAAGTCACAAGCCACTGCAGGCTGCCCAACAATGCTCGCAACTGGCGATATTCGCCTGGGGTGAGAGTGCTGTCCAGCTGCTTCTTTCAATGGATCGGCACCACTGCTAGCTATACATTTTCATGATAAGCTTGCATATTCACCTCAATTGTTTGTCAGCAAACTGTTTGTCTTGTTTCCCACAATAATTAAAACAACCTGTTTCCAGGCTTCCGAAACCAAGCTCCTTGCCCAACTGGTCAAGGGTTTACTCTTGCCCACGATAACCTGCCATCAACAAATCATCCACGTGGGATACTAGGATCCCGTGAAGGCACTGGTTGGCATCAGGCAGGAACCATTATGCTGCATCCATCAAACTCCTCATCCAGCCGACATTGGTCAGCGACCGGTACAACCTCAAATACCAACGTCTTGGACTTCCTGCAAGTCCGAATACGCCTTTGCGAAAAGTTATGTCTTGACAAACGGTAGAATAGGCTCATCCTCCGCTTGGCAACGGATGTTGGCAATGTAAAGTTCACGCTCTCCTTCAGCAAACAACTTGCCTTTGAGAAAGGCGCTCTTGATGTCAGCCGACCACAATGTCCATCCTTTGCTTGCAGCTGTAACGAACAAAAAAATGTGTTGAGAGCTCCTCGAACTGGTGGGCGCATCTTGTCGAACTGTGTATGCAGTTTCGTCCTGATAGCCCGGAATAACAAGCCGAGAATTTGCCAGAAGTGGCATCGGAGTGGATGCAGATCGCTTCCCGTCATTCATTCTTGTCGGTGCAAATGAACCGAGGATGCAGGATCTTTTTGAGTTCTCCAGCATCTCGTAACTTGGAACAGACTCTGTTTGACTGTTCTTCGCTGAGTGGTTCGAAAGCGAAGTTGTCTGTCTGCTTCTGCTCCTTTTCTCTAATCTGCCTTCTCATGCTCTGGGATTTGTTTCCACTTCACCTCACGACGAGCGGTCTTAGCAGCATTCACTTCAAAGGCAACAGACGGCGAAATCCAAGCGAGCTCCAAAACAGTTGGTTTGCAGCTCCTCCCTTCCAGGTAGAGTTTTGAGCGGAAGCGATCCAAGTGTCAGCCATTTAATGAAGCTGGCAGAGCAACCCGGATGGCACTTGAAAGGGTCCACGGGATCCATGTGTGGAGAGCAGCGAAGTCGCTTCGCCTCGGTGCTCCAAGGTTCAGCCCCACTGAATACCCACTTAGATCTACCTACGGGCGTTTCGACACGGAAGAACAAGGGAAATGGAGAATCTTAGAGGACCGGGCAGAGCATCGCACGCCCCGTTTGATCGGCGACACGCCAGCAGTGTTGGTCACGTTTTTCCACAGCCTGGAATCTCCGCTTCTGAATCAGCACAAAGATAGGTCCTCTGTGAAAAATTCCTTGATTCAGGGCTGAAGGATTGATGTGTTCCATCGCGGTCGTTTCGGTTCACTTTTCAGGCCTCAGCCATACTTTTGTGCTACGCATAGCTGGCAAAAGGGCGCCCTGTCTCGCTTTGACATTATTCGTTTCGTTTTTTCACGAAAGGTCGCGGTTACGCTACCTGAGTTGCGTCTTTGCTTTAGCAAAAATCTATTGGGGTGGTGAAGTGGTCCGATGTACAATTTCGATGATCTAAGAGTTGGGTTTTACATGGGCCCCCCCCCCATTCGACTCCACCCTGCGCCGCAGAGAGTTTGGTTGCGATCTGAGCAGATGCAACCAGCAGTAGCAACACAGCAAAGCAGAAAGCAGCAGCTGTGGCACCAGTGGCAGCAGCAACGACAGCAGCAGCAAAGCACCAAAGCTCACACAAGTTTAGCCTCCACAACCCTTGGTTTTGGTTCAGTTTTTTGGGGGTTTGCGCAGACGAAATTGAAAGAGGGGGGGACAGCAGCAGCAGCAGCCTTCAGGATTCAAGCAACAGCAGCAACCAGCAAGAAGCAGCAACAGCAACAGCCAAACAACAGCAGCAACCAGCAGGAGCAGCAACCAGCAGCAGCAGCAACCAGCAGCAGCAAGCAGCAGCAGACATGCTACCTTTCGTCCACCCCCGTCTCCTTAAGTTTATATATTTTCCTTTAAGTAAAAAATCTTTTTTGCTTTTTTTGAAGAATTGCTATTTTAAAGTGCCATCTCAGTTCAAGAGGAGCGCGCGCGCGTGGGGCCCGTGGGGCGGCGCCATGTTTTTGATCTTGAATCTTCGAGCTTGAACACCCCCCGTAGTGCTGCCATTTTGGCCGGCGATTGCGCCCCCTCTCGAATCCTTGTTTTTTTGCTACTAGTTTTCGAGGGTCGGGCGCTAGGGGTACCCATCCAGTCTCAGGGATGCGTGGGAGCAGACGAGATATAGCTCCTCTTCACAGCCCTCCTGCAAAACGACGTGAGGCTTGGGCGTCGTCGGGCTTAGGCCTAGTTGAGCCACGCTGCAATCGTTTGAAACGTTCATACACCCGTGCATGTGCCAGAGTTTTGAGAGAAGGTGCGGCCACCTTCAAGGATCGACCCCTAAATTTACATCAGGTACCCTTTCGTCTCAACAAGATCATTTATAATTATAAGCAGCCCACTTTGAAATTTTCTCTATGAGTTATCCCATCTCTTTAATTCGTTTGTTTGGACATTTCCCAATTTTTCAATGGAAAGCTTCTAGATCTTTTGATCACATCACATGGGTATATTGATGATGATGATGGTAACCTCCATAATATATATTTTTTTAAGGAATCTAAATTGAAGTACTCCTCCAGCGTGTCTTTGAAGAGACACGGCTTCGCTCTCAGAGACCTTGGCATTGCTTTGGCAAACTTCGACACCAAGCCATTCTTTGCCTTCAATACATTCTGGACAAGTGCAGTGGTCACAAAACGGAATGACCTTCTGTGGTCTCCATTCTCCCTTCTAAGTGCTTCAGCGTCCACCTCCGCCGTCCTCTTCCTGGAACTGCTTTCCTCCTCCAACTCCCAGGCATCATCAATTGCTGCCTCCATACGAGAGTGGTCTCTGTGGTGTCACTTGGCTTGCCTGTCGAATCAATGCAGGTACTGGCGTCCCTGGGGCTGCATGAACTGAAGCTGGCTGAGAGCCAACTCCAAAAGAAGGTAGTGTCGATGCCCTCCTGCTCAAACTGCCGCTTCCTGGAAGTGCCAACGGCTCGGGATTGCCGTCGTCCAACGCTTGCAGCAGGTCAACTGGTGCAACCGGCGGCAACTCCTCAACTGACCTTAGGCACCGGTGGTAGAGCTGGTGCACTCGAAGGTCTGGAAGGTGTGGGAGGTGCAGCTATTGGTAAAGGTGTCGCGGGAAGCTTGAGGATCCCTGCGAGCATCGTGAAGCGGTGACTCCACGCAATCTCTGATGGCATCATGCCACACGTCTGCACTAATCTTTTCCATGCTGGACGCCAACCTCAGATGTTCTCTTAAGCACTTTGTCAACTCCCTCCAGGGCAACAAGCAAAGCTGGTCCATGCCAGCGGCGAAGCGAAAGGCGCTTCTTGGAAGGAGCTGTCATCGAGTTGCACTTGGATCCACGCCAGAAATACACAATGTCTCCTGGTTCCAAGGGTTGGGACACAGTGCTGCTTCTCGACCTGCTGAGCTCAGCACACCGAATGCCTCTGGAAAAAGTGGAGGCGAACCATTGCAAGCCGGGCCACTTCACGAAGTGCAACTTGCCTTGCAAAACTCGGATTGCGATCGATTAGCCCATGTTCAGCTAGTCGTTGGCTGAAATTGCCATCCTTGGCTGTCGCCCAATCGCGGCTTGACATGGTGACACACCTGCTTCATTAATGTCAGCATTGTATGCCAGCACACATTCTTGGAATGCCATGTTCATTTCCTCCAGCCCTGCAACTGATTTGCTTTTGATGCAACACTCCAACAAGCCCTTCAAAATTCCACCTCCTCTCTCACAAATGCCACTGGCCCATGGAGCCTGGACCGGAATGTGATAAAGCAGAATCGAATGCTCATCGCACATTTGTTGAAATGCCCAGGAAAAAACTCACTTCCCTGGTCAGCAATGAGCACACGAGGGGGTCCAAATATTGGTAGCCAGCGTTGTTTGAACCAATTGCAGATGCTTTCAGAATCTTTTGTCAAGATCATTTCGCCCATCTGGAATCGTGAAGTCCAGTCAATGCAGTGTACGACATAGTACTTCTGCTCATTGATATCACTGCTTTCGAAGATGTCGATGTGCACTTGGTGTGACACATCTTTGGGCGAAGGCAATGTACTTGGCCTCCTGGACTTCGGTCTCTTCTTCTCATCACAAACGCTTGCAGTGGCTGCAGCAATCACTTCAGCTGGGGCACCGGCTAGGACAAGTGCCCTGGCAAGTCGTCTGTTCGACCTGTGTCCTGTGTTTGCATGAAGCCTTTTCACAGCAAGCCTCGTTACCGACGAGATTCTGGTGCCAGACTCCTGCTCTTCCCCCATAGACGATATGTCCGATTCTGAGTCGAAAGGATTCTGCACAGCCTGTTCACCAGTGTCATCATCTGGTTCCACCTCCTCTCCATCCACCGCCAAAACTTCTCGACAATGACCATGATCAGCATGGAACTGCCGCTCTAAGCCCTTGATGAAGGCTTTGGCCAAGGCAACGGGGTAATGGCCTGCATTGGAGGTGATCCTGGATCCTCCCAAGACCGGCTGGTGGTCATGATCCTTGGAACATTTCATGTCCCTCAACTCATCAGCAACACGCGAAGAGCTTGTTACTACCCGTGTAGGCTTCTTGTGCAATCAACCTTCTTTACTCCTCAGCCCGAAAGCGCATTGGTCAAAATCGACGCATTCCACTCCAGCTGTTTCGATGAACTGCGCAAGCTCAGGGAGTGTCCAAGCAAGAGATGGCTTGGGATTCTCCAGGATAAAATGCGCTTTCCGCCTCAGCTGCATACGGGCAAGAATGAGGGCAAAGTCGAGCAAGATGCGACCCTGCTTTCTCCTTTCTCCCAAAGACTCACTCTTCTGGAGTCTGGTCAACGGTGACCAGGGCCCGCATGGAAAGGCTAACACGAAACAGTAAGGGTCGTTGGCCATCACTGCCTTGATGCATTCTCTGCAGTCTTCTGGCTTCAGGAAGTTCCATCCATTCTCGAATGACATGGAAGGAAGCACTCGATGTCCTCGAAGAGTGGTTTGCTTGGCAACCTGTTCGGTGGTTGTGTAGATCTCGCCCACCAATGGTTGCTTGCTTGGTTTGTCTGGACCTTTCTTGATCCTTTGAGGGCCAATCTCAACCTTCATGATGAAGTTCTCTCTGCAGAGACAGCTTTGGAACTTGCCGTCCCATTCAAGCTTCATTACCTCGAGGACCTCATTGTTGGATTTCGAAACTGCCTCTCGGTCACGACAGTGCTTCTCCCATGCTTGGCTGATCTGTAGAGCCTATCCTTTCTTGAGCTCCTGATGAATAGCCCAAGGGTTGTTTGGAAAGCTCATTGATTCCAGAAGAACGGGCCTTCGGTCAGTTCCGCCTCCGACTCCTGCAACCAAGTTCTCTGCTGAAGATTGAAGTCGCTCTTCTCTTGTTCGGTCATCTCGTGGAACTCTTTCTCGTGGAACTCTTTCGCCCCCCCGAAGGGAGGTCAGCTCAGCACCCTTTGGCACTCAAAGGTGCCAAATAGCAAACAGAGTGGGGTGTCTTCCAGGTATATGAATCTCCGCCTCCTCCGTGCTCCATCCATGAGCTCCCAACAGGCTTTGGGAATTGCCTAAACTGCTTCCCATCAAAACGTCCATTGCTGAGAGATCGAAGTGCATGGGTCCCGCTGTTTGCACGCCCTGCATAGACATCATGTAGCTCATCACTTGGGTCAGCATTGTCTAAAACTTTTGATCCTGCTGTGCCAGGAGCTCGTGTATGTCCTGCAGCTGCACTCCTGGCACTGTGGAAGCCAGAGTTGGTGGCGTAGATGGGGCCACTGTCAGCGGCGTGCTTGGGGCGACGGAAGGCTTTGGGCGATCTGTCAAACTCTTCGGTGGCTCGTGGTGAGAACTTGCTCCACTTGGAGAAGGACGAACTACTAGCGTCTTGCTTACGATTTCTTGGACGATAGGCCTCACCAGCTTCTTCAAATCTTCGACTATTGTCTTCTCCGGAGGGGTGATCTCCACAAGAGCCGCCAACTTCAGAAGATCTGCCTTGAGAGCAGGCAGACCTCCCCGAGGTCCGATGAGCGTTCGAATGGCCTCGTACTACTTGCCTTCCTTCATTGCCTTGTCGGCTTCTTTCTTCGCTTCCGCAAGGGCCTCTTGACGAAGGCGGGATGCAACTCCTTTGCTGCTCTTTGCGGCCATCATTCCAAGGAGCATTGGATCTTCCATGAAGGCCATCCGCCAACACAAACGATCGCGGAGCCAACTGCACTCCTTCAGGTTTCCAGCTGTGAACAACTCCAAATCTTATGCCTTCTGAAGGTGGCGTCGAAGGAAACCTCCATTTGCGACCATCTGTTGGCCTTGCAAAAGCCATTGCCGTCCGGTGGTGATGGACGGGTACGGCAAGGGTGCAAAGCGCAGCCACGGCCGCCGACAAAGCCACAAGACAATGCCTTGCACGTACCATCGCACTCTTGCTTCGAGGCGCAGCAACATGCGCCGCCATGTTGAAGCGTGCTTTGGTGCCGCTTCCATGGATCTCGGGTGAAAAGTTTCGAGCGAGTGAACTGGTAGGGGATGTCGTCGTCGATTTGAATGCCTTGTCAGCAATCATCCTATGAGCCAGATCATGCGGTGGATCAACCCTTTCGACTGGTAAACCAATCAACGACAAATCTGCAGCATGCATGCTGTGCTCCGACAACAAATGCTCATGCTTTGTGGATGTGAACTTGGGAAAGGAATGAACTGCTTGCAACTTTCGACTCAACCACTCATGATGTGAAATCTGCAATGCAACAATCCCATCCTGTCCAACCCGACGCCAACGACCCGGACCTGGTGTAGGCCAGCAGCTCGGAATGAGGCGGAAGGCAAAGTGTCCTGCGGTCAACTGGTGCAGCTTGATGTGGTTGCCAGACAAATGGTCAGCTCTCATGATCTTCTTTGCAAAGCTCAAAACACAACCAATGCTATCCAACCAATCCCGACCCAACAAAAGGCCCAAACTGCCAACCTGTACGACCGACACCCATATCAAAATCAAATCTTTCCCAACCATCATTGGCAATCTAAAGCGAACTGTGCTCTTCTGCGTCCCTCCGTTACCAAATTTGAAGGTCTCCTGTTCCACCTGCTGTGACACGAGGCCTTGGATGACCTTGGGCGCGGCTTTCAATGCATATAAATAATGCTCAGGCCAAACATGTCCGCAACACGTACGATTGCAAGCGCTGTCTAAAACTCCCATCAACTTTTTGTCCAACGCCAACGAATGCACTTCACTTGCAAACACTTCAACCGACTTGTCAAGAGCGTCTGACAATGTACAATGCTGAAACGCCGAGCTATTGTCATCACCTCATGAGCATCCTCGTGAGCCGGTTCAGCCTCTGTATCGAACTCTGTCGCCAAGGCCTCTGTGACTCTGACATGCTTTGCAGGCTTGCCGCCTTTTGGCTTGAAAAGTCCTGCCCCTAGACTAGGGCAGCCATGGTCACCGGCCCAGTGACCAGTCTGGCCACAATCCCAGCAACTCGAGCGCGACTTCTTGCCGTTGACCTGATTGCCAGTCATCTTTGGCTTCGCACCTGAAGGCTGTCCAGCGGCAGTGGCTTTTCCATATCCACGATCTTTTCGAAGTTCTGCTATCTTGCTTCGAGCTTCCCTCATTGTAACGAGGGATTCAGCAGCCTGCTCAACACCCGTCTCAAGGCCCTCAATAAACTCTGGAGCAACACCTTCTTGTTCCAACTCTTCAAGCTCAGCGGCCAAAACTTCCGCTTCGCACTGTAGAACTTGCTCCAAAGACATGCCTGATTCCTCAACATCAGGAACCAATTCCTCCTCTTCTTCGAGTTCCGGCTCAGCCTCTATAGGAGCTTCTGCAACCAACGCTGAACGAGGTGCACCCTTTGGCATGGGCTTGAAGCTCTTCTGTGAACCACCTGAAAAGGAAGTCTTGTATGACTTGGTACCGAATGAGGAACTGGCACTTGAAGGCAGTGAGGTCCGGTATGAGGAGGCCCCGGACTGCGACTGTCCAAGAAAACGGCCAAGGAGTGGTGACCTGTCAACAATGCTTTTCTTGTGCAACGGGTCCTCGCTATGCAAGTCACGAATTAAACGAAGCGCATCGGCCTCCACTTCCTCATAGGCCTCCCGACCGCGAAGCGCGGTGTCGAGAAGCTGAACCCGGATGGCGTCCAACCCCATCCGATTCCTCAGGAACCATCCAAGTTCATCCGACGGCAACGTGATTCCTTCACGCTTCATTTCAGAGTTGAGCGTGCGGAACCGTGAACAGAAAGAACTGATGCGCTCACCAGGGTTGCGTCGAAGGTCAGTATAAAACTGTTTCCTCAACTCACCTTTTCTGTCCAACAATGTACGACCCATGGACTCCTCAAGGGCTGACATCAACTTACGAATGCCTTTCCATGGATCAGCAGGTTCCAACACAATCTCCTCTCCTGTCGTGGGGTCTTCCCCTCTGACCTCGGCAGCGCCTTCCAACTCGGAAGGGGAGAATTCCTCGCAACGAGCACGAACGACGCCTGTCTGGCGTAAGGTCCAACGAGCAGCCACATTATATTTTGTGCAGCTAGAGGCATCCATGCTCGCCATCCACCACTCCATCTCCCGCTTGAAGGCGCGGAAGCCACTGGGATTCCCATCCCAAACTGGCACCTTGTACCAGGCAGAGCTGCCTTTCTCTTCAGGGTGAGCCATCCTTCCGATATTCGAAAGGCCGTGCAACAATCAACAACTGTGGCAACTGTAAATGAAACAACGTGACACACCCCGATTCAAGCTCTGCCAACACCAGCTTAGCTGTAACAATGTACGACAAAGTTCAAATCAAGCAAATTCTGTCCAACCAACGGTCTCGCCAGGGCTCAAGCGCAGCTATATACCCAACTCAACCGACCAAGGACAATGCCGTCAATGCAAAAGATCTAGGGCAACTCTGTTATGCAATGCGCAATGCTCAATGTACAACAATGCACAAGCTATAGCAATGTAGCAACACGCAAAGCGGAACGCGCCAGGATCGAGCAAGCTCCGCTACCACTGTCAAAGCGAGACAGGGCGCCCTTTTGCCAGCTATGCGTAGCACAAAAGTATGGCTAAGGCCTGAAAAGTGAACGGAAACGGCCGCGGTGGAACACATCAATCCTTCAGCCCTGAATCAAGGAATCTTTCACAAATAATATCAATGAATAATGCTCATAACCTTTTCTAGATTACAGCTCATCGGTAGGCTGCATAGACATTGGACTAGAGCATTCGGCCGACCAAAATACCTCAAGTTCGATGCCAGTCGATGCAATCTAGGAGGGCAATTCCGATGTGTTGGAGCATGACGGAACCACATCACTCGACATTCCGGGAGAAGCTCATGAAGAAATGGGATATGTTGAAAGTCAAGGGTGGCACTTGGAGGAAGCGTTCAAGAAAGTAGGTGATCAGATGTCACCACAAGATTTTTCCCAATGGCAGGAGTGTATGGATGTCACGGTCAAAGCCAGGAATTCGTTGATGCGCAGAGCCGGCCATAGCCCGTATCAGCCTGGAGATGACCTCTGTTCTGAACAGCCAAATCCCATCAGCAATAGTGCTATCCTGGAAGACGTAGGGGCAAAGGCATCACACGATTGAGTGCACGGTGGCGCGGCCCAGGCATAGTGGCCGGACAAGCCGGCGGCAACTACTGGGTGTCCATGCCCGCTCGTTCATGAAGTGCTCGCCGGAACAGCTGAGACTTAGGACAACAGAAGAAAGAGACGCTGATAGGTTCCTAGTCAAAGGAAGTTTAGTGTGCAAAACTTCCGTGTTACGGACATTCAACAGCTGTTCAACCACCACTCATCATACACCACTCATCATACACCACTCATCATACACCACTCATCA